GACACTGTAGGTTCAAATCCGAAGAGCCAAAATGGCTCTTTGCTTTCGGTGAGGACACACTGTAGGTTCAAAATCCGAAGAGCCAAAATGGCCTGCTTCTGTGAGGATACGTTTAGGTTCAAAATCCGAAGAGCCAAAATGGATTTTGCTTTCTGTGAGGACACTGTAGGTCCAAAATCCGAAGAGCCAAAATGGCTCTTTGCTTTCTGTGAGGACACCCCAGGTTCAAAATCTGAAGAGCCAAAATGGCTCTTGCTTTCTGTGAGGATACGTTAGGTTCAAATCCGGAAGAGCCAAAATGGCTTGCTTTCTGTGAGGACACTGTAGGTCCAAAATCCGAAGAGCCAAAATGGCTCTTGCTTTCTGTGAGGAACACTGTAGGTTCAAAATCCGAAGAGCCAAAATGGCTCTTGCTTTCTGTGAGGATACGTTAGGTTCAAAATCCGAAGAGCCAAAATAGCTCTGCTTTCAGTGAGGACACTGTAGGTTCAAAATCAGAAGAGCCAAAATGGCTCTTGCTTTCTGTGAGGATACTGTTAGGTCCAAAATCCGAAGAGCCAAATGGCTCTTGCTTTCTGTGAGGACACTGTAGGTTCAAAATCCGAAGAACCAAAATGGCTCTTGCTTTCTGTGAGGATACGGTAAGGGTTCAAAATCCGAAGAGCGAACAGGCGCCTTAGCTTTCATGTGAGGACACTGTAGGTTCAAAATCTGAAGAGCCAAAATGGCTCTTGCTTTCTGTGAGGACACTGTAGGTTCAAAATCCGAAGAGCCAAAATGGCTCTTGCTTTCTGTGAGGACACTGTAGGTTCAAAATCCGAAGAGCCAAAATGGCTCTTGCTTTCTGTGAGGACACTGTAGGTTCAAAATCCGAAGAGCCAAAATGGCTCTTGCTTTCTGTGAGGACACTCTAGGTTCAAAATCCGAAGAGCCAAAATGGCTCTTGCTTTCTCGTGAGGACACTGTAGGTTCAAAATCCGAAGAGCCAAAATGGCTCTTGCTTTCTATGAGGACACTGTAGGTTCAAAATCCGAAGAGCCAAAATGGCTCTTGCTTTCTGTGAGGACACTGTAGGTTCAAAATCCGAAGAGCCAAAATGGCTCTTGCTTTCTAGTGAGGACACTTTAGGTTCAAAATCCGAAGAGCCAAAATGGCTCTTGCTTTCTGTGAGGACACTTTAGGTTCAAAATCCGAAGAGCCAAAATGGCTCTTGCTTTCTGTGAGGATACGGTAGGTTCAAAATCCGAAGAGCCAAAATGGCTCTTGCTTTCTGTGAGGACACTGTAGGTTCAAAATCCGAAGAGCCAAAATGGCTCTTGCTTCTGTGAGGACACTGTAGGTTCAAAATCCGAAGAGCCAAAATGGCTCTTGCTTTCTGTGAGGACACTGTAGGTTCAAAATCCGAAGAGCCAAAATGGCTCTTGCTTTCTGTGAGGACACTTTAGGTTCAAAATCCGAAGAGCCAAAATGGCTCTTGCTTTCTGTGAGGACACTGTAGGTTCAAAATCCGAAGAACCAAAATGGCTCTTGCTTTCTGTGAGGACACTGTAGGTTCAAAATCCGAAGAGCCAAATGGCTCTTGCTTTCTGTGAGGACACTGTAGGTTCAAAATCCGAAGAGCCAAAATGGCTCTTGCTTTCTGTGAGGATACGTTAGGTTCAAAATCCGAAGAGCCAAAATGGCTCTTGCTTTCTGTGAGGACACTGTAGGTTCAAAATCCGAAGAGCCAAAATGGCTCTTGCTTTCTGTGAGGACACTGTAGGTTCAAAATCCGAAGAGCCAAAATGGCTCTTGCTTTCTGTGAGGATACGTTAGGTTCAAAATCCGAAGAGCCAAAATGGCTCTTGCTTTCTGTGAGGATACGTGTAGGTTCAAATCCGAAGAGCCAAAATGGCTCTTGCTTTCTTGAGGACCCTGTTGGGTTCAAAATCCGAAGAGCCAAAATGGCTCTTGCTTTCTGTGAGGATACTGTAGGTCCAAAATCCGAAGAGCCAAAATGGCTCTTGCTTTCTGTGAGGACACTGTAGGTTCAAAATCCGAAGAGCCAAAATGGCTCTTGCTTCTGTGAGGACACGTTAGGTTCAAAATCCGAAGAGCCAAAATGGCTCTTGCTTTCTGTGAGGACACTGTAGGTTCAAAATCCGAAGAGCCAAAATGACTCTTGCTTTCTGTGAGGACACTGTTAGGTTCAAAATCCGAAGAGCCAAAATGACTCTTGCTTTCTGTGAGGACACTTTAGGTCCTAATCCGAAGAGTCCAAAATTGCTCTTGCTTTCTGTGAGGACACTTTAGGTTCCAAGTCCGAGAGCCAAAATGGCTCTTCGCTTTCTGTAAGGACATCGTAGTCTTCAATATCCGAAGACCCACAACTCCCAGCCCTCACAACAAACAAATAAACTCTTGCTTTCTGTAATGAAGGACACTGTAGGTTCAAATCAAGAAAGCCAAAAATGAAAATCTTTTGCTTTCTGTTAGGATACTCTAGGTTCAAAATCCGAAGAAGCCAAAATGGCTCTTACAGCTTTCTGTAAAGGACACTGTAGAATTTCAAAAATCCGAAGAGCCAAAATGGCTCTTGCTTTCTGTGAGGATACTGTTAGGTTCAAAATCCGAAGAGCCAAAATGGCTCTTGCTTTCTGTGAGGACACTGTTAGGTTCAAAATCCGAAGAGCCAAAATGGCTCTTGCTTTCTGTGAGGACACTGTAGGTTCAAAATCCGAAGAGCCAAAATGGCTCTTGCTTTCTGTGAGGACACTGTAGGTTCAAAATCCGGGAAGAGCCAAAATGGCTCTGCTTTCTGTGAGGATACGTTAGGTCCAAAATCCGAAGAGCCAAAATGGCTCTTGCTTTCTGTGAGGATACGTTAGGTCCCAAATCCGAAGAGCCAAAATGGCTCTTGCTTTCTGTGAGGATACGTTAGGTCCAAAATCCGAAGAGCCAAAATGGCTCTTGCTTTCTGTGAGGATACGTTAGGTTCAAAATCCGAAGCGCCAAAATGGCTCTTGCTTTCTGTGAGGACACTGTAGGTTCAAAATCCGAAGAGCCAAAATGGCTCTTGCTTTCTGTGAGGACACTGTAGGTTCAAAATCCGAAGAGCCAAAATGGCTCTTGCTTTCTGTGAGGACACTGTAGGTTCAAAATCCCAAGAGCCAAAATGGCTCTTGCTTTCTGTGAGGATACGTTAGGTCCAAAATCCGAAGAGCCAAAATGGCTCTTGCTTTCTGTGAGGACACTGTAGGTTCAAAATCCGAAGAGCCAAAATGGCTCTTGCTTTCTGTGAGGATACGTTAGGTCCAAAATCCGAAGAGCCAAAATGGCTCTTGCTTTCTGTGAGGATACGTTAGGTCCAAAATCCGAAGAGCCAAAATGCCTCTTGCTTTCTGTGAGGACACTGTAGGTTCAAAATCCGAAGAGCCAAAATGGCTCTTGCTTTCTGTGAGGATACGTTAGGTCCAAAATCCGAAGAGCCAAAATGGCTCTCGCTTTCTGTGAGGATACGTGAGGTCCAAAATCCGAAGAGCCAAAATGGCTCTTGCTTTCTGTGAGGATACGTTAAGTCCAAAATCCGAAGAGCCAAAATGGCTCTTGCTTTCTGTGAGGACACTGTAGGTTCAAAATCCGAAGAGCCAAAATGGCTCTTGCTTTCTGTGAGGATACGTTAGGTCCAAAATCCGAAGAGCCAAAATGGCTCTTGCTTTCTGTGAGGATACGTTAGGTCCAAAATCCGAAGAGCCAAAATGGCTCTTGCTTTCTGTGAGGACACTGTAGGTTCAAAATCCGAAGAGCCAAAATGGCTCTTGCTTTCTGTGAGGATACGTTAGGTCCAAAATCCGAAGAGCCAAAATGGCTCTTGCTTTCTGTGAGGACACTGTAGGTTCAAAATCCGAAGAGCCAAAATGGCTCTTGCTTTCTGTGAGGATACGTTAGGTCCAAAATCCGAAGAGCCAAAATGGCTCTTGCTTTCTGTGAGGATACGTTAGGTCCAAAATCCGAAGAGCCAAAATGGCTCTTGCTTTCTGTGAGGACACTGTAGGTTCAAAATCCGAAGAGCCAAAATGGCTCTTGCTTTCTGTGAGGATACGTTAGGTCCAAAATCCGAAGAGCCAAAATGGCTCTTGCTTTCTGTGAGGACACTGTAGGTTCAAAATCCGAAGAGCCAAAATGGCTCTTGCTTTCTGTGAGGATACGTTAGGTCCAAAATCCGAAGAGCCAAAATGGCTCTTGCTTTCTGTGAGGATACGTTAGGTCCAAAATCCGAAGAGCCAAAATGGCTCTTGCTTTCTGTGAGGACACTGTAGGTTCAAAATCCGAAGAGCCAAAATGGCTCTTGCTTTCTGTGAGGATACGTTAGGTCCAAAATCCGAAGAGCCAAAATGGCTCTTGCTTTCTGTGAGGATACGTTAGGTCCAAAATCCGAAGAGCCAAAATGGCTCTTGCTTTCTGTGAGGATACGTTAGGTCCAAAATCCGAAGAGCCAAAATGGCTCCGACGCCGAGGTTTAGGCCAGGATTTTCTGGGGGGCTGGGGAACCGGGGATCTCAACTCATTAAGGAGAGGGCTGGCAGACTCTGAAAGCATCTGTTTGGGACGCTCCGGGGCAGGGTCGCATCTGCTGCCTGACTGCTCTGACGTCTCGCACTAATAATCACTTGGAAAATACACAAGAAATGTCTATTTTTATATTCGTTTTATTTAACTTGTTATGGATGACGTTGACGGTGGCAAAGAAGAACCTGTCAAAACGGGGCCTCTTCCGCCGGTCGCGGTAAGCGCGCAAAGTTGCAGGGTCGTTAGGAGTGTGCCGGAACCATTGGGCGGAAAAGAATATACCGACGATACTGGCTTTTTCACTTCATATTCTACAACTAACGAATATGTACGGGCCGGTTCCGCCTTTGACTCAATCCATACGCGGCAAAAACTATGTGTTCTTGTACGAGGACGCGAATGGGCACGTTTTTCCCTTCTCGAAAAAGTCTCAATTGAAGAAATCAGTGACGATGGCGTAGGTTTTCTTTGAAAAAGCTTTTTTTACAAAATATCAATAGATGCGTCGATTGCAAAAAATTTATCGCGAACAAGCGTCGGCTGGGACTTTACGGAGGCGAGAAAGAAGGCGTCGTCAAAGTATCGCAGGACTATTCTACATTCTTGACCGATCCTGCACTCATCGTACATGTGTGTGATGCCGACAAGGTAAGATATTTTGTGGATTACTACCCCATTAACAGACGCGGGTCGAGCAATTAAAAACGAGGGTGCACAAACTGTGTGCGGAAAGCGTCGCCGGCGGCAGCAACATGCCACCATCTCTACGAACACTCAAAAGCTACACGAATGTCTTGGAAAATGCTCAGCTGCAAGGCCTAAACCAACAGCAAAAGTCAGAGGTTGCCAACCAACAGAATTAATTTGATATCCGATACATTTAGGTATTGTCTGCAATAAATCCGCACCAATTATCCCAAAATTACTCGACGGAGACGCGGAAAAATCACCAAACGAGCAGTGTTCCTGGCGCCATAACACAAAAGGATCGAATCTTGCCGGGAAGCGGTATCGACGTCATCAAGGTTGTTTCGCTTGAAATTCTAAAACATTGAATACTAGATTGACGAGCCGAATATCACGGTGTGGCTAAACGACAACGCGGTGGCGAATATCTTGACGCAAAATGTCGCGGTTATCGTAGGCGATGGTGTACACCACTTTGTCCCCAAGGAATATTGGGCCACAAGCAGCGGGAATGGTAACTGCCAGGTAAACACAATCCAATGAAGAATTCACATCCCTTGTAGCTGTATACTTTGTTGGCAATCATCAATGATGCCCCTTATCCGTTACTTCATGCGGTCACGCGATGCAAAAAGCGCGCAACTTACCAGAAAATCTTTACTGTTCTGAAAAACTCGGCAAATTTGGTTCCAGGAAACCTGCAGGTATGTAATAATTACAAATAACTAGGTTTTTTCTAGAAATTGCGCTCCATCCGATTTCTGATCGACTTTGAAGAAGCGGTCAAATGTGAACTAGAAAGCGTATTGCGGGTAGAAGTACGCGGATGCCTTTTCCACACGAGCCAGGCGATCAATAGGAATGCGAAAAAAATATTCAAGGTATGAGCAAATTGTTTTTCGATATCTTTATCTTTTAGCATTTTCTCAACGAGAGGCGAGTTTCGCAGTGGGTAGGCCGGGCTCGAGCAGCTTGTTTCTTACCCCCGCACATCATCGAGGCGTTAGGGTGCTTCGAGATTCCGTACGCCATCACCCCTGGCGAAGTGACATTGCATGCGGCTGCAGCGAGATTTACGGATTACCTCAGGAACACATGGCTGATTCGTTTCAGGTAAGTAGCCGGCAGGTAGGTAAAATTTTCATGCAATACAACCTTAATTGTTATATTTTAGGACTATGTTTGGACAATGGGATGGATTGCGCCACCGGACGACAAACTATGCCGAATCCTTTCACAACACTTTGCGCTATCTCTTAGGTAGGTCAGATCACAGTTTTCAACAATATCCATGATATTCTAGGGCCTGTTCCACCAATCGCCAAATTTTACGAACGCCTTCTCGAATTGTGCCAGAAAACTGCAGTGGAGACGGACAACCTAATCTTGCCGATCCCCATCTATAAGCCTGCATACGTCCGTGCTCCTCGTGCAGCCATTCTATCGGAAGTAGAAACGAAATTGCGTGCTCTTTCTGTGTTATTAGCGACCCCAAATACTCCATTGGTCGATTATGCCAATTTTTTAGTTGACATGGTTAGATACACCCCATCCGACACCAAATAAAACGGGTTCGATGTATCCTATTTATTGTATTTGTGTTTTGTGGCGAATAAAATATAGCTTTCCCATCTACAAGCTAAATAAAACGAATATAAAAATAGACATTTCATTTGTATTTTCCAAGTGATTATTAGTGCGAGACGTCAGAGCAGTCAGGCAGCAGATGTGACCCTGCCCCGAAGCGTCCCAAGCAGATGCTTTCAGAGTCTGCCAGCCCTCTCCTTAATGAGCTGAGATCCCCGGTTCCCCAGCCCCCCAGAAAATCCTGGCCTAAACCAGTGGATCCAAATGGCTCTTGCTTTCTGTGAGGACACTGTAGGTTCAAAATCCGAAGAGCCAAAATGGCTCTTGCTTTCTGTGAGGATACGTTAGGTCCAAAATCCGAAGAGCCAAAATGGCTCTTGCTTTCTGTGAGGACACTGTAGGTTCAAAATCCGAAGAGCCAAAATGGCTCTTGCTTTCTGTGAGGACACTGTAGGTTCAAAATCCGAAGAGCCAAAATGGCTCTTGCTTTCTGTGAGGATACGTTAGGTCCAAAATCCGAAGAGCCAAAATGGCTCTTGCTTTCTGTGAGGACACTGTAGGTTCAAAATCCGAAGAGCCAAAATGGCTCTTGCTTTCTGTGAGGATACGTTAGGTCCAAAATCCGAAGAGCCAAAATGGCTCTTGCTTTCTGTGAGGATACGTTAGGTCCAAAATCCGAAGAGCCAAAATGGCTCTTGCTTTCTGTGAGGATACGTTAGGTCCAAAATCCGAAGAGCCAAAATGGCTCTTGCTTTCTGTGAGGACACTGTAGGTTCAAAATCCGAAGAGCCAAAATGGCTCTTGCTTTCTGTGAGGATACGTTAGGTCCAAAATCCGAAGAGCCAAAATGGCTCTTGCTTTCTGTGAGGACACTGTAGGTTCAAAATCCGAAGAGCCAAAATGGCTCTTGCTTTCTGTGAGGACACTGTAGGTTCAAAATCCGAAGAGCCAAAATGGCTCTTGCTTTCTGTGAGGACACTGTAGGTTCAAAATCCGAAGAGCCAAAATGGCTCTTGCTTTCTGTGAGGATACGTTAGGTCCAAAATCCGAAGAGCCAAAATGGCTCTTGCTTTCTGTGAGGATACGTTAGGTCCAAAATCCGAAGAGCCAAAATGGCTCTTGCTTTCTGTGAGGACACTGTAGGTTCAAAATCCGAAGAGCCAAAATGGCTCTTGCTTTCTGTGAGGATACGTTAGGTCCAAAATCCGAAGAGCCAAAATGGCTCTTGCTTTCTGTGAGGACACTGTAGGTTCAAAATCCGAAGAGCCAAAATGGCTCTTGCTTTCTGTGAGGATACGTTAGGTCCAAAATCCGAAGAGCCAAAATGGCTCTTGCTTTCTGTGAGGACACTGTAGGTTCAAAATCCGAAGAGCCAAAATGGCTCTTGCTTTCTGTGAGGATACGTTAGGTCCAAAATCCGAAGAGCCAAAATGGCTCTTGCTTTCTGTGAGGACACTGTAGGTTCAAAATCCGAAGAGCCAAAATGGCTCTTGCTTTCTGTGAGGATACGTTAGGTCCAAAATCCGAAGAGCCAAAATGGCTCTTGCTTTCTGTGAGGATACGTTAGGTCCAAAATCCGAAGAGCCAAAATGGCTCTTGCTTTCTGTGAGGACACTGTAGGTTCAAAATCCGAAGAGCCAAAATGGCTCTTGCTTTCTGTGAGGATACGTTAGGTCCAAAATCCGAAGAGCCAAAATGGCTCTTGCTTTCTGTGAGGACACTGTAGGTTCAAAATCCGAAGAGCCAAAATGGCTCTTGCTTTCTGTGAGGATACGTTAGGTCCAAAATCCGAAGAGCCAAAATGGCTCTTGCTTTCTGTGAGGATACGTTAGGTCCAAAATCCGAAGAGCCAAAATGGCTCTTGCTTTCTGTGAGGACACTGTAGGTTCAAAATCCGAAGAGCCAAAATGGCTCTTGCTTTCTGTGAGGATAGGTTAGGTCCAAAATCCGAAGAGCCAAAATGGCTCTTGCTTTCTGTGAGGACACTGTAGGTTCAAAATCCGAAGAGCCAAAATGGCTCTTGCTTTCTGTGAGGATACGTTAGGTCCAAAATCCGAAGAGCCAAAATGGCTCTTGCTTTCTGTGAGGATACGTTAGGTCCAAAATCCGAAGAGCCAAAATGGCTCTTGCTTTCTGTGAGGATGCGTTAGGTTCAAAATCCGAAGAGCCAAAATGGCTCTTGCTTTCTGTGAGGACACTGTAGGTTCAAAATCCGAAGAGCCAAAATGGCTCTTGCTTTCTGTGAGGATACGTTAGGTCCAAAATCCGAAGAGCCAAAATGGCTCTTGCTTTCTGTGAGGATGCGTTAGGTTCAAAATCCGAAGAGCCAAAATGGCTCTTGCTTTCTGTGAGGACACTGTAGGTTCAAAATCCGAAGAGCCAAAATGGCTCTTGCTTTCTGTGAGGATACGTTAGGTTCAAAATCCGAAGAGCCAAAATGGCTCTTGCTTTCTGTGAGGATACGTTAGGTCCAAAATCCGAAGAGCCAAAATGGCTCTTGCTTTCTGTGAGGATACGTTAGGTCCAAAATCCGAAGAGCCAAAATGGCTCTTGCTTTCTGTGAGGATACGTTAGGTCCAAAATCCGAAGAGCCAAAATGGCTCTTGCTTTCTGTGAGGACACTGTAGGTTCAAAATCCGAAGAGCCAAAATGGCTCTTGCTTTCTGTGAGGATACGTTAGGTCCAAAATCCGAAGAGCCAAAATGGCTCTTGCTTTCTGTGAGGATACGTTAGGTCCAAAATCCGAAGAGCCAAAATGGCTCTTGCTTTCTGTGAGGATGCGTTAGGTTCAAAATCCGAAGAGCCAAAATGGCTCTTGCTTTCTGTGAGGACACTGTAGGTTCAAAATCCGAAGAGCCAAAATGGCTCTTGCTTTCTGTGAGGATACGTTAGGTCCAAAATCCGAAGAGCCAAAATGGCTCTTGCTTTCTGTGAGGATACTGTTAGGTCCAAAATCCGAAGAGCCAAAATGGCTCTTGCTTTCTGTGAGGATACGTTAGGTCCAAAATCCGAAGAGCCAAAATGGCTCTTGCTTTCTGTGAGGATACGTTAGGTCCAAAATCCGAAGAGCCAAAATGGCTCTTGCTTTCTGTGAGGATACGTTAGGTCCAAAATCCGAAGAGCCAAAATGGCTCTTGCTTTCTGTGAGGATACGTTAGGTTCAAAATCCGAAGAGCCAAAATGGCTCTTGCTTTCTGTGAGGACGCTGTAGGTTCAAAATCCGAAGAGCCAAAATGGCTCTTGCTTTCTGTGAGGACACTGTAGGTTCAAAATCCGAAGAGCCAAAATGGCTCTTGCTTTCTGTGAGGACACTGTAGGTTCAAAATCCGAAGAGCCAAAATGGCTCTTGCTTTCTGTGAGGACACTGTAGGTTCAAAATCCGAAGAGCCAAAATGGCTCTTGCTTTCTGTGAGGACACGGTAGGTTCAAAATCCGAAGAGCCAAAATGGCTCTTGCTTTCTGTGAGGATACGTTAGGTTCAAAATCCGAAGAGCCAAAATGGCTCTTGCTTTCTGTGAGGATACGTTAGGTTCAAAATCCGAAGAGCCAAAATGGCTCTTGCTTTCTGTGAGGATACGTTAGGTTCAAAATCCGAAGAGCCAAAATGGCTCTTGCTTTCTGTGAGGACACTGTAGGTTCAAAATCCGAAGAGCCAAAATGGCTCTTGCTTTCTGTGAGGATACGTTAGGTTCAAAAATCCGAAGAGCCAAAATGGCTCTTGCTTTCTGTGAGGACACTGTAGGTTCAAAATCCGAAGAGCCAAAATGGCTCTTGCTTTCTGTGAGGATACTGTAGGTTCAAAATCCGAAGAGCCAAAATGGCTCTTGCTTTCTGTGAGGACACTGTAGGTTCAAAATCCGAAGAGCCAAAATGGCTCTTGCTTTCTGTGAGGATACTGTCAGGTTCAAAATCCGAAGAGCCAAAATGGCTCTTGCTTTCTGTGAGGATACGTTAGGTCCAAAATCCGAAGAGCCAAAATGGCTCTTGCTTTCTGTGAGGATACGTTAGGTTCAAAATCCGAAGAGCCAAAATGGCTCTTGCTTTCTGTGAGGACACGTTAGGTTCAAAATCCGAAGAGCCAAAATGGCTCTTGCTTTCTGTGAGGACACTGTAGGTTCAAAATCCGAAGAGCCAAAATGGCTCTTGCTTTCTGTGAGGACACTGTAGGTTCAAAATCCGAAGAGCCAAAATGGCTCTTGCTTTCTGTGAGGATACGTTAGGTCCAAAATCCGAAGAGCCAAAATGGCTCTTGCTTTCTGTGAGGACACTGTAGGTTCAAAATCCGAAGAGCCAAAATGGCTCTTGCTTTCTGTGAGGATACGTTAGGTTCAAAATCCGAAGAGCCAAAATGGCTCTTGCTTTCTGTGAGGACACTTTAGGTTCAAAATCCGAAGAGCCAAAATGGCTCTTGCTTTCTGTGAGGACACTGTAGGTTCAAAATCCGAAGAGCCAAAATGGCTCTTGCTTTCTGTGAGGATACGTTAGGTTCAAAATCCGAAGAGCCAAAATGGCTCTTGCTTTCTGTGA